GCCCCTTCCGGAACCTTTCCCCGAGATCCCTCTCTGCCGGTGTCTCTGTATGTATCACTGCATGTGTACGTACCAGTGTGTGTGTGTGTCGGTGTTTCTGTATGTATCACTGCATGTGTACGTACCAGTGTGTGTGTGTCTGTGTTTCTGTATGTATCACTGCATGTGTACGTACCAGTGTGTGTGTGTGTCGGTGTCTCTGTATGTATCACAGCATGTGTACATACCAGTGTGTGTGTGTCGGTGTCTCTGTATGTATCACTGCATGTGTACGTACCAGTGTGTGTGTGTGTGTCGGTGTCTCTGTATGTATCACTGCATGTGTACGTACCAGTGTGTGTGTGTGTCGGTGTTTCTGTATGTATAACTGCATGTGTACGTACCAGTGTGTGTGTCGGTGTCTCTGTATGTATCACTGCATGTGTACGTACCAGTGTGTGTGTCGGTGTCTCTGTATGTATCACAGCATGTGTACGTACCAGTGTGTGTGTGTGTCGGTTGATGTCTCTGTATGTATCACTGCATGTGTACGTACCAGTGTGTGTGTCGGTGTCTCTGTATGTATCACAGTATGTGTACGTACCAGTGTGTGTGTGTCGGTATCTCTGTATGTATCACAGCATGTGTACGTGCCAGTGTGTGTGTCGGTGTCTCTGTATGTATCACAGCATGTGTACGTACCAGTGTGTGTGTCGGTTGATATCTCTGTATGTATCACTGCATGTGTACGTACCAGTGTGTGTGTGTCGGTGTCTCTGTATGTATCACAGCATGTGTACGTACCAGTGCATGTCTCGGTGTCTCTGTATGTATCACAGCATGTGTACGTACCAGTGTGTGTGTGTCGGTTGATATCTCTGTATGCATCACTGCACGTGTACGTACCAGTGTGTGTGTCGGTGTCTCTGTATGTATCACAGCATGTGTACGTACCAGTGTGTGTGTATGTGTCGGTGTCTCTGTATGTATCACTGCATGTGTACGTACCAGTGTGTGTGTGTCGGTGTCTCTGTATGTATCACTGCATGTGTACGTACCAGTGTGTGTGTCGGTGTCTCTGTATGTATCACAGCATGTGTACGTACCAGTGTGTGTGTCGGTGTTTCTGTATGTATCACAGCATGTGTACGTACCAGTGTGTGTGTGTTTGTGTGTCGGTGTCTCTGTATGTATCACAGCATGTGTACGTACTAGTGTGTGTGTGTGTCGGTTGATGTCTCTGTATGTATCACAGCATGTGTACGTACCAGTGTATGTGTGTCGGTGTCCCTGTATGTATCACAGCATGTGTACGTACCAGTGTGTGTCGGTGTCTCTGTATGTATCACAGTATGTGTACGTACCAGTGTGTGTGTCGGTGTCTCTGTATGTATCACAGCATGTGTACGTACCAGTGTGTGTCGGTGTCTCTGTATGTATCACAGCATGTGTACGTACCAGTGTGTGTGTGTGTCGGTGTCTCTATGTATCACAGCATGTGTACGTACCAGTATACGTGTGTATCAGTGTCTGTGCATCCACGTGTACCCACACCTATTATAGCACGGTTGGCTACGTACGGTGCGAAAGAAGTTCCAACATACGTTCATATTTACACCGACCTCCCTCCCTGCACGAACCTCTAACCCAAACTCTTTCCCCGGGCTATCCCATTCATGGCCACACCACCAATTGTTCCAGATGTCACATCCCTCAGGCTCAGCCTCCACCACCACCATCATCATCACCAACAACACCCCCATCATCATCACGGCACAGGTGCTCACACACGCACATCGTACACACAGGTAACACGCACACAGAACACACACACATCGTGCACACACACAGGTAACACGCACACAGAACACACACACACACCGTACACACACACAGGTAACACGCACACAGAACACACACACACATCATACACACACACAGGTAACACGCACACAGAACACACACACACACATCGCACACACACACAGGTAACACGCACACAGAACACACACACACATCATACACACACACAGGTAACACGCACACAGAACACACACACATCGCACACACACAGAACACACCATATCGTATACACACACATCGTGCACACACAAAGAGAACACGCTCACACAGAGAACATGCACATAACACACATTGCACACACACACACAATCATCATACACTCACACACAGAACACACAGTAAACATACGTGTCACACACAAAACATACATAACACATACACTCGTACACACAGACAGGACACCTCGTACACATACATCATACACACGCACATATATACATCACGTAAACAGGGTACATAGACACACACAGAAAAGACACCAATCATATATCATGCACATACACCACACATGCTTATCACACAGACACGCACACGCGCACACATGCACCACACACACATGACACATAGCAACACACATGATCACACAGACACATGATCACACAAAGGCAAAGATCCCCCGTATAGCATTAACAGACTGTAGGGGCAAGTGCTGTTAGCGAGCGCCTATGAAGGCCGGCACGGCACACGAGGGGGTGGGTGGCCAGCACCACGCCTGGCCGCCTTTGTCTCCCCGGTGGCGATGTTTACACACCGCTACACCAGGTACTCATCGGAGGCTGAGTCGACCTAGGGGAGGCCCAATTCAGCAACCGCGTGCCCGTTGCTGGCCACGTGACGTCTTTGGTGCCTCTGAGCCAACGGCGCTCAGTCACTCTGCTTCTCACCTGCTTCTCAGTCACCCTGCTTCTCACCTGCTTCTCAGTCACTCTGCTTCTCACCTGCTTCTCAGTCACTCTGCTTCTCACCTGCTTCTCAGTCACTCTGCTTCTCAGTCACCCTGCTTCTCAGTCACTCTGCTTCTCACCTGCTTCTCACCTGCTTCTCAGTGACCCTGCTTCTCACTTGCTTCTCACCTGCTTCTCAGTCACCCTGCTTCTCACTTGCTTCTCACCTGCTCTCAGTCACTCTGCTTCTCAGCCACTCTGCTTCTCACCTGCTTCTCAGACACCCTGCTTCTCAGTCACTCTGCTTCTCACCTGTTTCTCAGTCACTCTGCTTCTCACCTGCTTCTCAGTCACTCTGCTTCTCACCTGCTTCTCAGCCACCCTGCTTCTCAGTCACTCTGCTTCTCACCTGCTTCTCAGTCACTCTGCTTCTCACCTGATTCTCAGTCACCCTGCTTCTCAGTCACTCTGCTTCTCACCTGCTTCTCAGTCACCCTGATTCTCAGTCACTCTGCTTCTCACCTGCTTCGCAGTCACCCTGATTCTCAGTCACTCTGCTTCTCACCTGCTTCTCAGTCACCCTGCTTCTCAGTCACTCTGCTTCTCACCTGCTTCTCAGTCACCCTGATTCTCAGTCACTCTGCTTCTCACCTGCTTCTCAGTCACCCTGATTCTCAGTCACTCTGCTTCTCACCTGCTTCTCAGTCACCCTGCTTCTCAGTCACTCTGCTTCTCACCTGCTTCTCAGTCACCCTGCTTCTCAGTCACTCTGCTTCTCACCTGCTTCTCAGTCACCCTGATTCTCAGTCACTCTGCTTCTCACCTGCTTCTCAGTCACTCTGCTTCTCACCTGCTTCTCAGTCACTCTGCTTCTCAGTCACTCTGCTTCTCACCTGCTTCTCAGTCACTCTGCTTCTCAGTCACTCTGCTTCTCACCTGCTTCTCAGTCACTCTGCTTCTCACCTGCTTCTCACCTGCTTCTCAGTCACCCCGCTTCTCGGCACATCAGAAGGGTGCTGCGTGTGTAGGCACCACCCCCTCCCCGTCTCCCCGGAGCATCAAAGCACCCTCGAATCTCAGCCACTCCCCATTGCCCCGTCGCAGTGCGGCGCAAGGGGGGCACCCCCAGTGGCAGCTGCCCCCCTGTGCGGCACGAGGAGGTGACTCGGTAGAACGCGGCCCTGCGGGCGGGCATCGATCTGAAGAAAGTAGGTTGCCCCCATGTGGTTGTGCCCGTGTGGTTGCCCCCATGTGGTTGTGCCCGTGTGGTTGTGCCCGTGTGGTTGTGCCCGTGTGGTTGTGCCCGTGTGGTTGCGCCGTGTGGTTGTGCCGTGTGGTTGTGCCCGTGTGGTTGTGCCGTGTGGTTGTGCCCGTGTGGTTGTGCCCGTGTGGTTGGGGAGCGGTGGTGCAGCGGTTAGCACTGCGCTACGAACCCGGCAACCCGAGTTCGATTCCCGCTCACGGCCACCAACACCACCAGCGAAGATTATCTGAACCGGTCCTGGGCCTCTCCTAGGTCGACTCGGCCTCAAATGAGTACCTGGTGCGGTGTGTAGTAAACATCGCCACTGGGGAGACAAAGGCGGCCGGGCGTGGTGTTGTCCACCCATCCCCTCGTGTTTCCGTGCCGGCCTTCACAGGTGCCGCTACTTGCTAACAGCCACTTGCCCCAGCAGTCTGTTAAGGCTACACGGGGGAACTTTGTCTTTGTATCGGAACCCTCGCGTGAAGTCACGTCGCTGTTGTGGAATGGAGTTGCCTCAGCCCATCATCATCGTCGTCGTCGTTGGCCCTCTCTCCGGGGTAGATAAAACGAGCACCGCTTTGTTGCGTTTCGTGGGGAGGGGGGGGATTTCTCGGTCCCTTGCCATAGGAACGTGGAATTTCCACCAGCGGCTATTGCAAGGCTGTGGACAGGCGGGGAGCAGCAGCAACAACACATTGATCTTGGGGTCATCGTCAGGTCACCGTCGGGTCATCGCCCGACACTTGAGAGACAACAACAACAACCCAAACAACAACCAAACAACAACAACAACAACCAAACAACAACAACAACCAAACAAACAAACAACAACAACCAACAAACCAAACAACAACAACAACCAGCTCTTCAAAGGGGCAACAACGTAACAAGATAGGAGAACGCGCGCTAGCCTGGACACGTGCCAGTCACGTGGCGTGCCGCTCGCGCTGAACGACGTCATAGGCTCCAGGCACGTGACCATTTCTCCCCCCCCCTCCCCCCCCCACTTTTGTTTTACTTTCTTTCAGGATCCGACCAATCAGCGCGAGGCACGGGCAGGCGGAGCAGGTGGCGACCTCCTCCGCCACCTCAACGCCCCTCGGCCAATCAGACGACAGTAAGCGGAGCCGCGTTGTGATTGGTCCCGAGTTTGCGAATCCCCCCCCCCCCTCGCACCCCCCTCCCCCCGCCCCTCCCCCACCGAGGCAGGAAAACCCCCACGCGTTACTAAGATGGCCAGTCACCTCCCATCCAGCGGCACCACGACGCAGAGCCGCTGTGTTCTCTCCGATGAGCCGAGAGTCGGCGGAACGAGCGGCTCCTCTAGGTCGACTCGGCCTCAAACGAGTACCCGGCGCTGCAGTGTGTAAAAAGCAGCACCGGGGAGACAAAGGCGGCCGGGTGTGGTGATGGGCACCGACCCCTTCGTGTGCCGTGCCGGCCTTCATAGGTGCTGCTCGCTAACAGCACTTGCCCCTACAGTTTGTTAAGGCTACACGGGGTATCTTTGTATTTGTGTGTGTGATGGGGTGGAGGGTGGTGATGTTTGTGGTGGTGGTGATTAAGGTAGCTGGGTGTGGTGAGGCCGGGTGTCTGCGTGAGATTGGAGATTCCGTGTGTATGTGTGTAATGAGATAGGGGTGCACAGCGACACACGCTCTAGCACAAACACACAAGGACAAAGATCCCCCATATAGTCTTAACAGACTGTAGGGGCAAGTGCTGTTAGCGAGCACTTTTGAAGGCCGGCACGGCACACGAGGGGTGGGTGGTCAACAACAAGCCGGGCCGCCTTTGTCTCCGTGGCGATGTTTACTACACATCGCACCAGGTATTCATTTGAGGCTGAGTCGACCTCGGAGAGGCCCTGGACCGGTTCAGATAATCGTCACCGGTTGCCGGATTCGTAGCACAGCGTAGCGCTAACCGCTGCACCACCGCTCCCCCACTCGTGAACACACACACACAGACTCACACAACAACAATCGCCATTCGCCACTAAGTGGCGGTGACGTCACCACGACGCTTGTGCCAGGCTATGTGCACCTTGAGGCCACGTGAAGTGTCGAACGCCCGCTGGCAGGAGGTCACGGGGCAGACTCAGGTGCCACGGGTCGACTGACTGAGATGACTGAGATGACTGGCTGATGCACCACCTGTGCCCACTACTGTGCCAACTTGCTGTGCTTTAGCCACCCGGCTCTCCGCTCGTTGTTGTGAGCGTCGCTCCTCCGCCCTCCATTGTTGTTGGAGGGCGACTGCCTCCAACTGCCCAGTAGCGTCCTTCACGAGCCTCCTCCACAGAGGCCGATCTTGACACCGCTGGTACCAGCCATCGGCAAGTCCACTCAGCTCCACGTCCTCCTGTACCATATCACTCCATCTCTTCTCTAGCCCGTGCCGCGCCCGTTTAGCCCCCTCGATCCAGCCAAACAAAAGCTGTTTTGGCATGCGGTGGCTGGGCATGCGGGTTACATGACCCAGCCAACGCAGCCTTGCCTGCCGGAGGAGCTCACCAATGGGACCTTGCCCCGATCTTTCAAGAATTTGTGAGCTCCTCACACAATCCAGCCTGGTTAAACCCAGAATGGATCGTAGGCAAGCTAGCCTAAATGTTTCTAACCGGCAAAGATGTTCCATTAGGGGGGTCCACGTTTTGCAAGCGTAGAGAAGGAAGGGAATGACCGTGGCCGAGAAGACCTGAAGATTAGTGCGGAGCGACAGACCAGGCAGCTTCCATACAGCGTTATGCAACCGTTGAAAAGATATTGCCGCTTGACTGATTCGGAGTTAGGCCTCTGCTGTTAAACTGGAGCCGTTCATAAGCACACTGCCCAGGTATGGGAAACTCTCCACTCTCTCCACAACTGCCCCACACCGATTGGGAGTTGTGGGGGTGGAGTGTCCGATGGTGGGACTCATGGTAAGGCCCCATCTCTTAGTGGCACGCTCCAGTCTCAGCAGCAGCGTCTCCAACTCCTCCTCTGAATGAGCAGCTATTACCAAATCATCGGCATACATAATGTGGTTGAGCACTAGGGAGCCATCCCTTGGCTACACCTGGGCATCGATCAGCCTCCCATTATATCTGTACCAAATGGAGATTCCCCCGGTACAGCTATTGAAGGCTTCATGAACTACGTGGTCAAAATAGATGTTAAATAATTTGGGAGCCAGAGGACATCCCTGTCGCACCCCAAGGTGTACAGGGAATGGCTCTGACTCCCGGCCACGTAGTTTTACCCAGGGCCCGCTCACCATCATGAAGGTCCTTAATGATCGTGAGCAGGGGGTCAAGGACTCCAAAAGCACGAAGAACAACCCAGAGCCCAGGCCTACTGATGGTATCATAGGCCTTGACCAGGTCAATAAAGCAGAGATGTAGGTCTTGTTGGAATTCCCTACACCTCTGCTGTAGCAGACGGACAGAAAATATGGCATCTGTGCAGGACCGCCCTTTCCTCAAACCGCATTGGGGCTCCACATGCCTCTCCTCAGCGTGCCTGGCAAGGCGATGTTGAATAATCCTTGCCAGGACCTATCCCGGCAACTGAGGAGTGAGATGCCCCTGTAGTTGTTACAGTCTGTGCGGTCCTCCTTCTTAAAGAGGGGGACCACCAGGGCATCCTTCCAATCCTGCGGAACCCGTTCAGTGGTCCAGACTGTTGTTTCGATGTCATATGGGGCAGTCTGTGCACAAACGCCACCCTCCCTCAGCATTTCGCTTGGAAGATCATCTCTACCCGGTGCCTTTCCTGGTCTCAGACTCCTGTTCGCCTTCAGTACTTCCTCAACAGATGGCACCTCAGCCAGCCACTCACAGGGGGTGACTTCTTCCAATATTTGAGGCACCGCAGCCTCAGCAGGGTTATCCCCACTTTGTGCCATGATGTTTTCCTGGCTGAGGGATTCCCCCTCCCCCAGGACCTCACAGAAATGCTCAGCAAAACTGCAAACCTGTTCCTGGTGTCAGAGATTGGTTCACCGTTTTTTCCCCTAATGATGGTAATAGGTGTGGGTGCTGCAGGTTACTTTTTTTATGGAGTTAAATAGAGATTTGTGATCTCGGGCCTCTAGGGCAGACTCCATCTCCTCAGCAACCCCAACCACCACCCATCCTTGCAGCGCCTCACGGCTCTCCGAACCTCCGAGCGAAGGCTGCGGTAAGCCTCCTCATTCTCTGACGTGGGATTCTGTAGCCGATGACAGTGGGCCTGTTGCTTTTTTCTCAACTATCCTGAACACTTCCTCTGTCAGCCAGGGTCTCTGGGGAGGTCTGGGACCGCGTACCCAAAGCAGCCATTGCAGCTGCATGAGTCCACAGTCCTTAAACCTCACCCATTTACTCTCGACATCAGGAGGAGTGGGGGATGATGCCAACCCCAGCCGCACGCGATGATGAAATTTCTCGCTTGCAACTTTTCATCAGATAACTGAGACCAGGCCACTTTAGGTTGGAATGGGGTCCTGGGTGTACACCCACACCAGAGTGGAAGAATGGCAGGCGCATCTTACAGATGACTAGTCGATGGTCAGAGGGCAGATCAGCTCCACTGTAGGTCCTGGTGTCAAGGACATGGGCTCGCATCCGCTGGTCCATCACTATGTAGTCCAGCAGATGTTCTTGCTTGGACCCGGCATGCATCCATGATGTTGTGTGGATGTGTCGATGCCGGAACAGCGTGTTGGTAATTACAAGCCCATGGGCTGCACAAAAATCTAGCAGCCTCCTACTGTTGTTATTGAGCTGATCTGGCCCATGCCCTCCA